CATGCATACGACCTGCAGAGTAACAAAGCTCAAAGTCTCCCACAAAAGGATTTATTCTATCTAAAAGAGAAGGCTGATCCAGACCGGGCTAAAACACCTCATTCAAACACGCCCCCACATGTCTACGACACGATGTGGAAATATTAGCATAATGCCGCCCAAATGTGCTTACAAAGAAAGAAGGCGTGGTTTCAGGAACCGCAGTAGTGTTGATGCAGCATGTCAGGGAGACGCTGTGTTTCAGTGCGAAAGCAAAAGCACTTTATTTGGCCTTCCGGAAGTAGATGCAATTAGGAATCAATGTTAAGATTTGTTTAAAACAAAACAGCACAACCCAAATGTTCGAATCTGTGCAACGCATTTTATGGATGACAGTTTTGTGAACCTAGGAGAGTACAAGGCTGGCTGTGCACAAAGGCTATTTCTAAAAAAAAAGGGTCAATTCCGACTTTGCTATGACAATCTGGCGCTTATTCTAAATCAGCGACTGCAGAGCGGACTGCGCTTGTCAAAGGAGGGGGCTTTGTAGAAAACGAAGCGTTTGAGAGAGGCGGGGCAGGACGGACCTACAATAATGTACAGTATTTGAAAAATAATGTGTTTTTTGAACATTAAAGCATGTCAACATATTCTGTTACACCAAATACACAAAAGAATGATCTTTAAAATAGCATCATATGACCCCTTTAAGACAACAAATAAATAAATAATCATTGTATAAATCTGGGGCTTTTAAAGTCAAAGACAGTGGGCTTCCTTTCAGACACAACATGGTTTTCATACCACTGCAAACCAAACCTGATATCAGTAAAATGTTACCAAACAACTGCTGCAGTAAACGAACTGTAATAAAATAAAAAAGCTAATTATAAGTAAAATGACTAATAAATATAATGGAACAAAGACACAAGTGAAATAGTGTTTAAAGCTTTTCAGGTGACTTTATTCAAGTAAGAAATATTATAGAAATTGAATCAAATATAAAATAAACTGCATAGTCTTCACTGTCACTTTAAGACCTAATGCACTTATCTAATGTTAGCACATCTAATTTTCTCTGAAAAGACTCTGTTTATGTGAATACTCACCAAAACGGGCATTTTGAGATGCAAATGTTTATTTGACCATTCAAGCGCAGTAAGCCACAAGAGAACTTGATTCGGTTCTCAGAAACAGCGTGAACAGAAAGCCGACATATAATAAACTAATTAGTTCCCTTCCGAGGGAAATTCGAACTGCGTCCTCTAGGGGTCGCTATGGGGAACGCCTTCAGTGCAACCGGTGTCTGAAGCATACATCTAAAAATGACAATAACATTGGCCGGCGATAGCCTATGACGTCATTACCTGGCGCGATCACAGTATAAAAGAGCACCGGGCAACAACTTGAGCTGCATTCTATCTGTATTTGATGATTTTGGTAATATTTTAACTTACAAACAATTTATGAATCTCCATAATTTTCCAGTCCCATCAAAGGAATATAATACTTTAATGAAAGCTATCCCAGCAGGATTAACCCAGTTAATTAAAAATCACCTTAAGTTTAGTAAAGGCAATAGTTTTTATCTGGCTTTACGTATGGGTGGTATCGATATCTTAGATCAGAAATGCAATAACAGACATATTCGCAAAATATTTCAAACAAAGAGAAAGATTACTCCAAGAGGGAAATTCTATCGGGGTTCCTTTATAAGAAATATAAATTGGAGAAAGGCCTGGCTTTTGCCAAGTACATTTTGTATATCCAACAAGGTTATATAAACCCTGAACACGCTCCTCAGGTGAGAGTTTGCTGTGCTTCCATCAATCCCAAACATTGTGTTTGTGCTCATATTTAAGACCGAATATAGGGGCTTTTGCACCACAGAGTCCAGGAGTTTAAGGAATGAGCCAGCAGGGTGGTTCCTAGAGAACCAATTTTGGGCCGTTTTCCTGGTTGCATTCGCACCGGCAGCAGGAACTCTGAAGCGGCCAACAGCAACGTCTTTATTTGCGGCATTTATAAACGTCAACAGCTGGTGAGTGGAGGACGCCATGTTCGGAGCTGTTTTTGTTGTGTGTCGTAGGTTTCGTGATAACGGAGATGAAATGTAAACACACAATTTACACGATTGAAAGAGCATGAAAATCTGACTAAATCTCCTATGACAACTTGCAGTGTTACATATCATAGAGGCTGAGAAAATATGCCGTTATCGCTGTTTTCCATGTTCATGGAGTAAATATTTTTTCACTGCTTTTTGAAAATGCCCGGTAGCCGGTGTTTTGTATGCTTTGGCCAATCAGCGTACACTTACATCACTGGTAGTTCCTATAGAGCTGTTTTAGACCCTACTCTGAAGTACAGGGACGTGCACAGACATTTTGAGGGGCAGGGGATCAAGTGTAAAAAAGGGTACTTCTCACATTTATTTTAATTTTTTCATTAATACTGTTTTGATATTTTAAACATAAAACATTGAATACTGATATTTAAAATTATTTTTAAAAAAATGAAAAGATATGTTAAATGTGAAATTAAAACTGTCAGTAGATGGCAGCAAGTCACTATTAATAAGTGAGTTATTGCAACTGAACCGAATCATTTAAACGGTTGATTCATTCAGGAACGAAACATTGTCATGTTGCTCAGAGATGCAAATTGAAATTATATTTGTCGGCGAAATAGACCAAAAACAGTCAATATTGTCTCTAAAATGTAAGTGTCTTAATAGTAAATTCTTGTTTATTGGACTGCTGTATAAAATCAGTATCACATTTGTAATCATGCTGCTTTTTGGTGGAAAAAAACGTCAGTCTTCGCGTGATACTGATTAACTATATGAAATTATATAAATATATAAATCAGTCTGAACTACTTTGAATGTCCGAGTGACAACACATTTAATGCATTTAATCTCACATCATGTTTCACGGTGACTGAGAGGACCAGCAGCACAGGTAACATCAATTAAGTTTCAGAGAGTCCCTCTGTCACATGAAGAATATGGCCTCCATGTCTTACCCCCTCATGTCTCTCAGGATCTCTGGAGAAGAGCCTGAATGTTTCTCTGAATCTGAATGTGGATGTGGTACGAGGAATGAACCGAGGATTCTTCGATCAGAGGAATGTGTCGTCCAGGACTCTGCAGCAGTCCGTCCTGCTGGATTCTGTGTCCTCCTGTTTCAGCTTCTCCATCTTCATGCTGGTACGTGTCGTCTATCACAGCTTCAGCCAATCTCAGAGCTTCAGTCTGATGGTGAACGTTGTGTTTGTTTCAGCGCTGTGTTGCAGAAACAGTGACTCTTCTGAAGATACGAATGAATTTCTCACAAACTGAGATGTTGTCTGGAAACTCTATGGCTGTTCTTGATGTTCACAGCAGGACGGAGGAGTATGTCGAGGTGAGCCGAGCTTCACACATGTCAACTTATACTCTTGTTAGATATAGTGATGGGAGAAACGGAGTTTTCATAGCTCTGAATCATTTGAACCAATTGCTTAAAATGATAATGATTTAGAGCAGTTTCTTTCAGGTTGCAGTGAAGGTGAAGTTTGTCGTTCCACTCAATCAGATAATGTTGATCGTCGGAAGTTCCGTGGGGGGTGGGTTCATCGTGTTCATTATCATATTGGTAGTGCTAGTGAAGGTAAGAACCAATCAGCAATCACCTTACACATGATGTCATCATTCACCTGTCACATTCTCAATCCAATCTGTATGTGCTTGTGTGTGTGTGTGTGTGTGTGTAGCATGGGTTTTTTAAACGGATGCGCCCTCAAGACTTCTTCCAAGCGGATGAAAATGTGACCTTGGTAAAGAAAATGTCGGCAGAGAGCTAGAGAATGGAGGGATGTAAAATGGAGTGAAAATATTATTTATTTAAAACTTATAATACTTCTCTTCAGCTGTCTTTTTCTTTAATTTCAAAGAAGTAACCTTTATTGTGCTAGGTGTGGGCGATATACCGGTACACACAAAATTTGTCAGCAGGTACAAATTGCAGGATTATTGTCTTTGTCACAGTTACACTCACGTGACATTGCATTGCTGTGCTGTCATGAAGGTCTGTCATTTGCATGTGTTTTTAAGCCTTTACAGTTTAAACATTCAAGCAACTTCAACCCATTCAAGCACAAAAAGATGTAAAAAAGCAATTAAGTTCGGTCCTTGTGCACTGTTCTGATAGGTGCTTTTCTGTGTGCGCACATGCCACCAACTTTCATAGCACCTGAGGACTGAATTGAGCTCTTTTTGTGGCTAATTGCACTTAAACTGTCAAATACATGCAAAATATGTCATAGCAGTGAGAATTCACATAAACACAGTCAGTTATGTCTTAAGTGAACGTAAAAACGGATGTGTGTAAATATATATATTCCGTTCATTAGGTCTTAAAGTGACCTATACCTGTATACAGTATACCTGCTGTTGTCTGTGCCCTTAATGTTAATAAAACAACAAAAGACAAAGAGAAAATCACTCACTGAACTTGACTGAATAATTTTTGTGGCTTTAATAACAGTGATTCTGTATTTAATTCATACAGTGAATAGTGAACAGTGAAGCTCTGCCCTAGTTGTATGATCATGTGTTCTGGAGGTTCAGCATGTTTTAGCATATTTAGTTAGTGATATGCAGCATGTGTAGCTGGTTCTCGTCTTGTTTTTAGTGACTTAACCTTATTTATAGTAACCCAGTTTTATGATATTCATTCTATTAACTTGATTAAACATTACTTATTTTTTAATCATCATCTGTCTTTTTATATAACCTTCATACTGAATATTGGCAGTAAATTTAATAAGAGAAATTAGTAATTAATTAATGAGTAATTAATGAGTAAATAAATTATGTAATTGAATGAGATATTGCTGAGTGTGTTTATTGTTAGACTGATTTTTATGGCACTATCACAAGACATACATGAAAAATTAACAAAACGCTTTATATTTATTCAAGCTAATTACATATCCTCACTAAACATCTCAATATTACAATGACAAAAACACACGGACGAAACACAACATCTTAAGTTAATTAACAGAGAATATGAAACACAAAATGTACAAATATAAATAAAACTGAAGATAGAGAAGCATTACGTATTTAATCCTAATGGCGTCTTCTACAGATCATTTACAGATGTGATTATAGTTCATTTCAGTCGCCTTCAGAATGATCTCGTTTAACGGTAGGCCTTATTGGTCGTATGACCCTTACGACCGATTAGCCGTTCGCAACCGCCGTGTCGTCGTCATCGCAGTTCTCCGATTCCGTCTTCACTCTGAGCAGTGACGTCGCTGTCGCAGATGCTGCGGTCGCCTCGGATCGAGTCTCCTCGGCCGCTTGGCACGGCGACTCGTGCACGCGCATGTGTTTGGCCAGGTGGTCGGCGCGCAGGAAGACCCGTGGGCACGAGCTGCAGCCGAAGCGCTTGGCGCCGGTGTGCGTCTGCAGGTGGCGCTGCAGCTCGTCCGAGCGCGTGAAGCGCTTGCCGCAGAATAGCCAGTTGCAGACAAAGGGCCGGTCGCCACTGTGCCAGCGCAGGTGCGCTTTGAGGTGCGACGTCTTCACGTAGGCTTTCCCGCAGCCGGGGATGTGGCAGTTGTGCAGGTGCTTGCGTTTATCACTGGCGTTTCCCAAAGACTCTGTGCTCAGGCAGTTGGGACAGCGGCAGGAGGCCTGGCCGGGAGCGCGACTGCCGGCGCGACGCTGTGATTTGGGTCGAGCGGAAGCACCTGCGGCATCCTGCTGCTCCTCCAAGGAGTACGACGAGGAGGCCTGCGCCAGCGGCAGCAGATCCTGTATCAGCGGCTCCATCTTAAACCCCTCGGGCGGGTAGTGCAGGCCGGAGTGGGTGGAGCACATCTGCGGCTCAGGTGTGTAGGAGCTCATGGAGCCGCCCTGAGCTAACCCCGCCCCCAGCCCCACCCCCTGCAGGTCCATCCAGCCTGCAGCTGCTCCGGCGTGCATGTCCCACCAGCCAGACATGCTCACCTCCTCCTGCGGCGGCCCCGCACGCAACCAGGGGTCATACGGGTGGGCCATGATGAGTGTGTGTGTGTGTGTGTGTGAGAGAGAGACTGTATCACCACATGACTGTGAATGGGAATCTGAAATCACTTCCTGAACCTGTGGAAACAAAAAACACACACAGACGGATCAGTTTGAAGGATTCCTGCTTTCATTGCTATTTTTCATGCGAATCTTTAGTTATTAGTTTCAGGTATAAGCTGTGCATGGCATAATAATTGCATGAGGTCACCAAAAAACGTAACTGAATTCAGCTGAATTTACCTTATTTTGGACATAAGAGCAGGTGCAGCAGTTTTTAACTTCAATGTTTTAAGGCTTCTGGTGTCATTCGCTTCCAGTAGCCAAACAAAAACAGTCAGTCATGCTGCTTGATACTGCAAACTGTGTTATCATATTATTTTAGTTTATTATCATAATCATAAACACAAAACTATTTGAAAACTTTTATTTTTTTATACAATCACCTAATTGTCAAGTCATGTATTGACAAAAGAAATCAAACAAAAAAATGTTTTAAACTATAAACAATTTTTTATTAATACTACTTAGCATTAAATAAAATACATTTATTTATAATCAACATTTTTTCTCACCTTATCTTGAACTAAAGTTTTCACTGAACTTGTTGTAGTGCATTATAGGATTGTCTTCTTTGCAAAGGAGATGTGTGACACTGCCTTTTAGAAAAAATCTAAAAAAAAAGGCATAGTTTTTCTTCTGTCTGTTATACAGATCTTGTTAACTCATTTTACTGCAGGCAACTTTTACTGTCTTAAAGTTGCATTTTCTCATATTTGTGTCTTTATATTTTATATATTATTCCTTTTTAGATTCTCAAATACGTGCAGATTTCAGGCTTTCGTGTCTATAGTTTGGGACCGGCTGTTCCCACTTCATTTTTGCAACTGAAGTGTTGATCACCGAAAGAAGAGCGCAGCGTCATTGTCTAGCTTTTGGAGCACTCTTCAGGACGGACTAGAAAAGCAGCGTCAGTGGTGCTGATGAACTGAGCTGCGGTTTGACTGTCAGCGTCTCTAAAGCCGCATCAACGCACAAACCTTAATACACATTTGACGTCACTGGAGGGATTTGGTGTGGCCATTAGTAAATGACCCTACAACAAAATCTAGCGTTGAAATGAACGATCACCATCAGTCTCCTGCTCGGATCCGAAGCGTTCTGCTCCAGTCACAAACACAAACTGTCATCCATGTTGTTGAATGTAATGTCTGCAGCAAACACACATTCACAGAGTACAGTTACTCTGAGAATCTCATCCTGATTGAGTCTGGTATGCCAGCTAATGTTCACATGAGCTACATTTCCATCCACCCAAATAATGCTCGTAATCAAACGCCTTCATGCAAACGCCTCCATCGATCCGAATGAAATCTCCATTGGGAAGTCTGTAAATGACCTGAAGGTGGGAAGTATACCTGAAATAATCCAATCAAAACTTAAAAACTAAACATGTGAACAAAAATATCTAATCAGCTGGATTCAAAAATCTGCACCCAGAACTGTTTAGAATTAGATCTGTGTACATACACACATTTGTAAGATATAAAGCGTATCTTTATTTACGTCTTATGAACTGGTCAGTGGAGGCGACTGAATATTCACTAAATATCCACACACAAAAAAGCTCTGTTGACGTCAGTTCTACGTTTAGAGATGTCATCAAGGCAAAACGATAAATAAACTCAAAATCAAATTGAATCAGAAACTGAATTTATTAGAAAATTAGTGCATGTAAACATACCTATTCTGAATGGACTGGAGAGGACGAGATTTCAGCGGAAAGTGTCGGCGGGTGAGACTCACCGACCTCAATTAAGTTGTTTTGAGTCGACTAGTTAGACGCCACCTTAATGCATCCGTGATCTCAAAAAACACACACCCCAGCACTAACCACACACACACACACACACACGGTTTCACTCTATTAGTGAGCACGTCTCACAGATGCAGTGATATCAATCCCAGTCTCTTCCACACTAAACCTGCTGGAGTCAGATAGAAACGCTCTTCAGATGCCCTCGCGAATCACTTCTGCTTTACCACATTTGTGAGGACATTTGAAAACATTTGGACCTAGCAAACATCTCTCACACACACACACACACACACACACACACTCTTGCTGATAACAGCTTCTCGCTCCCTCACACGTGGATGCACTAGCCCTGACACACACACACACACACACACACACACACTCATAAACACACAGGAAACTTGTCCAAACTTGACAGACACATCCGAATTTCAGAAATGCTTCCAAAGAGATGTGTCAGATAATATATGCAGTACAGTATGTGTATATAGTGTGTGTGTGTGTGTGTGTGTTTGTTTAGATATCATTTTTGGGACAAAACTATATCCAAGAGTGACTTAAACTTGACATGACTCCTTCAAAGATATAAACTGTCAATTTAATTCAATATCAATATGCAAAATTCAGAATATTTTTTTCAGTTTATGGTGTTTAGCCTGGTGTCATTATTATAGACTTTACATACATCAATTTAAGACTGTGATATGTGTTCAGTGTGTGTGTTTGTGTGTGTGTTTGTGTTTATATGAACAGGAAGGCTCAGGATTGCAGCTGTAACGATCTGTTGACAGCTGGAGTGTGTGTGTGTGTGTGTGTGTGTGTGATCCGAATTTCAGAAATGCTTCCAAAGAGATGTGTCAGATAATATATGCAGTACAGTATGTGTATATAGTGTGTGTGTGTGTGTGTGTGTTTGTTTAGATATCATTTTTGGGACAAAACTATATCCAAGAGTGACTTAAACTTGACATGACTCCTTCAAAGATATAAACTGTCAATTTAATTCAATATCAATATGCAAAATTCAGAATATTTTTTTCAGTTTATGGTGTTTAGCCTGGTGTCATTATTATAGACTTTACATACATCAATTTAAGACTGTGATATGTGTTCAGTGTGTGTGTTTGTGTGTGTGTTTGTGTTTATATGAACAGGAAGGCTCAGGATTGCAGCTGTAACGATCTGTTGACAGCTGGAGTGTGTGTGTGTGTGTGTGTGTGTGTGTGTGTGTGATTTGTGATGAAAACAGGTTTAACTGTCTGCCAGAACTTCTCTGAAAACAGACAAACACATGCAGTCTGGCACAAATCCACAACCTCCCAAAATTACACACACACTCACTCTCTCTCTCTCTCTCTCTCTTGTCTCACAGACGCAATGGTTTTTATACTAAGATAATATCGACTAACTGTACTGAATGTAACACTCACACAAACCTGCTGATGGCAGGAGATTTGAAGCAGAGTGTGATTTTATCTGTTTCTGAGAGAAAACTGAGAAGAGCTCTTTAAATGTTCTTACAAGATGCTTTTTTAACATTTGTGAGGACATTTCTGACTAGAGACATTTCAGGTCTCTCGAGTGTGGCCACATCTGTACACACACACACACACACACACACAGAGAGAGAGTTCAGCATGTGAATATCTGACGTCATCAGCACTAACATCATATCAGCTCATGATGAACTCGCGCATCAGCCGTCAACCCGAGAGATTTATCGAGAGATTTACTGTTTAATTCTCATCACATCAAGAGAAATTACAAAAAAGACTTGAATCTTGAATTGAAATCAATGCTTCAGTTGACACACTCTCACACATAAACACTATTATAACAACAATCAAGCAGCATAATAATGAAATGAGTGATGAGAGAGAGTTTTACCTGCTCAGCGTCTCCTGATGAATGTGACGCCAGTCTGAAAGCAGCACGAGTTTATGACAGTGCGAGCCCCACCTCACACACACACACACACACACAGTTCATTCATACACACTTTCATTTATGCAGCCCTGTCCCTGCCACACACAGACACACACTCACTCACTCACACACACTCACTCACTCACACAAACACACACTCTCTCACACACACACACAATAACACACACACACACACACACACACACACACAGACAGACAGACAGACAGTCAGAGCGGCTGCTCGCATGTGTCTCAACATGTCAGAGCAAGACCTCAAACTACCTGAAGGACAGACAGGAAATCAAAAAGACTACCTTTTCAATAATCTTGCCTATAAAAGGAAGATTTGATATTGGTCTGTAATTGCTCAAAATGTTGTTATCAAGATTGCACTTTTTCAGAAGGGATTTAAGAACTGCAGTTTTCAGGGAGTCTGGAAACATCAATTTCTTCAAAAATAGACATAGTATCTTCTTTTTGATATTGCGGTCGAATCTGTCTGACCTCTGCATAACTTGAGGATGTGCATAACTTGAGAAACACACACAGTAAACATGTACAAACTTGATAGAGGCGTTCAAATTTCAGATATTACAATAGAAAGAGAATGGTCAGATATTACGTGTATGTGTGTTTAGCTATAAATTGTGGATAAATAGTGAATAGGGTAATAAATGTTACTAATAGACATCAATTAACTACCCAGTTAATTTATTAGATTTTGTCATTTAACAGATGCTTTTACCCAAAGCGACTTACAAGTGACATTACACATTACATTAGGAATTGCAAAAATGTTTTGTATTACGTTTCTGAAATGTTATGTTTAAATATGCAAATGAGGCACTAATTAATCAAATAAACGCTGAATTGCATACATTTTCAGACCATAAATATGAACATTAGGAAAAGTCAGGTTGAAAATTCTAGTTTGATTTTGTTGGCATATTTCAAGTTGTATATCAAGTTTTTCCAGAGGGGATTTTGGATTTCTCTTTTCATCACTCCGTAAATCAGAGTTATACTAACAACAGACAGAAACAAATATTTTCACTATGTTTTTAGGAGTAACGCTGTATAATCAGTGTGACTGAAATATGAACAGACCTTCAGAATAACGAGAGGAATAAAACTAAAGTTTGGTGTTTGTAAGATAAAAAAAATTGTTAAAGATATTGATTGGAATTGAAATCTACAAATGCAAATAGATAGAATTCAATAAAATAAACACTTAAACGTGTATTTTGGATGTTTTCTTTCTAGAAGATAAAAAACACCAACACCAAAAAAAAAACACTAACCCAAAATCTCAAAATTGACCAATGCATGAAAAAATGATTTTGAAAGAGTCTTTCTTTAAATCTGCCGCTCTCAAACATACAAACCGTCCATTATAGAGCTGGTGTTAGTCTGGCTCATTATAATGGACTTGATGAAGACTATGAAGTGTGTTCATTTCACTGAAGACGACTGCACTGAAATCTCAGTGAAGCTCAGACGGGGTTCGGTTACTGCAGCTGAAGCGAGCGCAGAAGGCTAATTTCAGAGATTTTCTGTTTGTGTTGGCTGAAGGGAACTTCCGCCTCCTAAGATCATATTTACACGCTGCAGCAGCTACCCAATAACAGATTTCCAGCAGAGTGTTTATCATTGGAAATCCAGGAAATCCTACGGGCCGACAAGATACTCAGACGAGCCTCCCCCTCTACAGTGCCGTGTGTTTAGTGTTCAGAGAACCAGCCTTTGATAGTCAAGCACACCTGTATTTTCAGCTAGAGACTTCCTCCCTGCACACGCCCCTCTGCTTTGATTGTTAAACAGCCCTGGCGCCAACACACACACACACATTAAACAACTCTTCATTTCTAGGTGACCAGCTTTCCAGTTTCCCACAGACTCACAGATGTGTGTCTCTCTCACACTCACACACAAACACAGACACAGAGAGAGAGACATGACACGGATTGTGTGCAGATGTGTGTGTATCTATATCATGTTTGTTTAGTGATGTAAAGCTTTACTGTAAGCTTGAAGACAATAAAGCTCCTTAAATCTTGAGACAGACAGAGGAAGGCCAGCAGTGGGACACGATCACCGGGAAACTTTTCACACAGTTATAACACATTTGAGTGAAGGGTTCATTTTCCATTTGAATTTAACAGTTTGATTTCATTTGATTCTAGATATGTGTAAACTTAATTACAGCTGTATGTGTAATTATCAGGTTCAGCAATTTGTGTGGATGTTACTTACAGCATGAATGTACAGAATGCGAAAGGGTTCCACTTTATATTAGGTGTCTTTAACCACTAAATCTATAGGATGTACTTTGCTAATAGATTTCATAATCAATCAATCAATTAATTAATTTTAAAAATTGTAAAGAAATGACAAGTAACACTGAATTAAACTTTACATTTTGAAGGAGAAAGAATGAATTAGTACAGTTTGTTTATTTACTGATTTGTGTAAAACATACTCCAATAATCTTTTTATCAAAAAAAAAAAAATTAAAAAAAAAAACATTTTTACAGTGTATATAAAATGGGTCCTGCAAAAGTGCTCTTTAACATCATTTTGACAGTGAGTTTCACTGCCAGATATAATTTTTGATATTTTTTACTAGTGGGTGCAGGACACTAAAGTCCATTTATGTAAGTGAGGATAACAAAATAAAGTAAACTGTAACATATTATACACCAAAATTCTTCATACAGTGGACTACAAGTAAAATTGATAAACATTCGGGACCAAAAATTTGATTTGACACTTTGACCTGATCATGTTTTGTTACATACCTTTCTATGTAACAAATTAGATGTTCTAAGATGGCGCCGCAGATGGCAACCATGGTTTGTCGCTCCTTGGTACTTGTAATTTTTTTGTTTGTTTGTCCTGTCTTAAGCAACTTTTTCACGATCAGCTTTACTAGAAGCGAACTCCTGGACATCAGAAATAGCACACCAAATAACTTTCTGCCACCATTTGAGCATTCAGAAGTTTTACTGGACATTTTAGTCAGAGGAGCTGTGTTCCTATACAAGCGCTCCAGGCGACGCAAGCGAGGAAAGCGCG